TTTCAGGAAGGTGAAAAGTTATCAAAGGCAGCGATACTGCAGCACACAGCAGACCTTATTCAACAGCTTCAGAGTGAACGCTCTCGTTATGCAGATAAAGATGAAGTTGGTGGCAAGAAACCTAAGGTCGAAAGTAAGTTTTCTTCAAGTTTTACCCTTCTTTTATATACTCTTCCCTATAAAAAGAGGTGTCGTATTTCAAGGGAGGCTGAGCTTTTGAAGTTTGTGCGTGTTGAAATAAGTTGAGGTAACATAAGAAAAGTGTCCTAAGGTGCATGGCTCTCCGAAAAGTCGAAGAACTTGCCATTGCTTATTAACCCATTCTGACTAAAATTTATGTATGACGTCATCAGTGATATCGTATTGTTTAGTTGACGAATGTGTGGAATACGAGCAGCAACGTTCGATGATCGATCGCCTTCAAATGGCGTTGGAACGCGAACGTACAACGCGTATGTTTCTGGAACAGCAGCTGAATCAAATGAGAGAAATGTATCAAAACGGACTGAACGCCGTAGCGACGGTTGCACTGAATCCATCCAGTAGCCCATCGTTGCAACAACAGCAGCAACAGCAACAGCAGCACCATCGTCAGCAGCAACAACAGCAACCGCCACCAACGGCGCAACAAATCGCTAATTCAGCTGCGAAGATCACCAATCACCACAACGACGATGAGCGTTCATGATTCGGTGATACGGCCAACACCACTGATTGCTCCAATATCAGGTGAGAGCTCGTTTTCTCTTAGGCCGATGTCAAGCTTTGCGAAATCCAGCGATTCGCTAGCGAATCGCGTCCGACCTTTTTTGAAGTTGGGTCCCTCCACTTTCAAACAGCGTTGAGTCGCTGGTACATTGTTTGATCCGCTGGTACACAACTCGATTCGTTGGCGCACCTCTCGTCTGGATTCGCAGAGTCTGACATCGGCCTTACCATTGCATTTCTTGGAACTTTATGCTTCATTATATACTTTTGACTAAAAGAAGCTTCCTACCATGCCATATACTTATGGCTTACCGTGCAATGTAGTGCGCATAGGCTTAGGGATTGGGTCGTTACATGCAGTTTATATGACTCTGAATCGCGGGCGTTAACGATATCCCCTTCCATTGCTATAGTAATTTTCAGTGTTTTCAAATTTTTCCAACCGTCGTACCTGTGGCGTCCTCCTTCGACTAGGGCTTATGTTAGAGCTTAAAATGACTACACCTTGTTTCTGGTTTTCATCATGAAGGAATTTCTCCACGGCAGATACGGTCCTGTTGTGGTAGACCTAATATTGGTCGAAAACTTAACCGCCACGACTCTTCTTGTAAATTGTTTTGAAAACCAACGGGCATGGATATCAGATATGTGCACCGCTTACCCTTACTACTCGACGCTGACAGTCATGACCAGCTTGATACGTTACTTTTAGAAGGAGAGGGCTAGAACCTCAAGATGTCATTAAGTGGTGCCTCTCCGACTTCATCCTTTGGCTCAAAAATTTTATCGTGCTGGAGGGGGTTTGACAGGTGCAGACGAAAATGTTGACACGAGGGCTTTTAGTGGGCTGCAGTATGCAACACGACGCGAACGGCCGCTACTTGTCGTGCGCAGCTCCGCCCTGTGCGCCATCTTCGCCATGTGAGGTTATAGTGGAATGGAGAGCAAGGGATTGGTTTAGGGAGGCACTCGCTGGGTTCTTCAATTCCTGACCCTCACTATTTGTGGGGAAGAATGTAACGACTGCTTGAGCGGGCTTCGATAGGCTTACGGGGATGTTGCATACCTCTAATCCATAGTTCGCTGTGTTTTCTAAATATTTGCAAAACAGTCATAGAGGCAAATCTCTTAGCCTACCAAATGAGATATTGGTTAATGGTGGGGAACAAGCAAGGCAGCGGTCAGGCTCAGCGATTAGTCGCAAGTTTGAACCCTACCCTAGGGTTTGTTTGATAATAGGTTGCAGAATCTGGATTTTCATAAACTTTTCCAACTCTTGACATGCAGTTAGATTTCGATGTGAAGAAAATTTGTTTCAGTCGACGTATCACCGCGTATGGCAGTTCCGATGCCACCAGCACCATCACCCATGATACCACCGACGTTGACGTCATCTGCCGCAACATCGGGTCCGCTCTCGGCACCTTCCGCCTTCAGTTCGTCGTCGATCACAGCACATCGTTCTCTGCAAACGATCCTGGATGCGATTCGACACCTCGAAGGCGGTGCACTGGTGCCGCCATCGGCGTCACCACCACCCAGTTCGCAGGCGCCTCTGGTACGGTAATTTGTGTGATCTTTTCACCACTGCCGCCATTGTCGCTGCTTACATTGTCGTAGCCGAAGGCGCATACGTATCATTTGTGGGGGAATGTCATCCACCATAGTCGTTGTTTTTATAGAGAATAGGTGCTAGTGAACGCGTTCTATTACAGAAACGATCCGCTGGTTCTCTCCTATTAGAGGTGAGACCGTATCCCGTTTATTTCTAATCGGCATACGTTGAGCTACCATATATTTGAATATTGCTTGTTATTTTTACTCCCCGGCTCGTTTTTTTTTTGTTTTTCGTTTTTTGGAATATTGTCCTGTGAGGCTTGTTTTCGCTCCGGTGGTGCATCGTGTCACACTGTCTTACTTGATTGCTATCCGGTCAAATTGTCTTATTTTTATCCCCTTCGAGCATCACGCCGTTTTGAATAGTTCAAGTGTTCATTCGGGTGGAATCTTTTCTTAGTCTATTTAGTTTACCAATTTTTTGCACTTTCATAAGATTTCTGCACGGAAGGAGTTTCCCTTTGCCGTAGTAAGAATGGCGTGGTGGTCGAAGTTACGGTTACGTTATTGCTATAGTGTTTATTTCCGGGTGTGTACGATTGAACCTAATTTTTATTGGGTTACGGTATGATGCAAAATCATGTGTACGATTCTGACTGCCTCGCAGTTGTGTAGCATTTACGGACCTTCCAGCACTCGGTTGCATCATTCCGCATCTCATTAAAAACTAGGTTTTAGGCATGGGGTTGAGCGTGGCATAGAGACGAGTTATTTCTCCAGAACCTTTATTTCAAACATACACAATGCATGAAATGCCAAATGTCGTGGTTTATCTTGATGTAGTGGACGGATAACTCGTCCGAATTGGGCGGGGCATCCGATGGGTGTGCCGCCCATTTCTGCCATGCCCTATTTTCATTCCTATTATTCACCACTCTTGCTTCTTTGCTGTCCATCTTTTTTCTTCCGTGCTAAAGAAGAGCGAGAAATTTGCTTCACAGAATTACCTAAAAAGACATCTTTCCTTCCCGAGAGTCATTGCTCCCAGCGGCCTAGAGCATCGTTTATGTTTTCCATAGCGCTGTTTGTTGTTATAGTCGTCGCCATCGTATCTTTATTAATGGTTTTTGTTTCGTATTTGAGACGACATTTAAGTAATTGTTGACACACGTTTCATTGTAGTGAGCATTTATGGGCGGTTTCCCCAAGAGCTAAGATTTTGTTCAAAGCCCGCCCCTATATGTGCTCATTTCATTGAAATTGATGTTGTTTTGTTATGTTTTTTATTCTTCCTTCATCCCGTTTCTCTTTAACGTCTTTCGGATTGTGCGATGGCATCTGGCCGGGAGTAATAATTCCTCTATTCACTGCCCACTCCAGTTCTTTTCTCTACCATATTTCATCATTGTCTCATCCTCAACATCATCTTTTTTATGTTCATGATCTGAGCCTGTTTTCTCATTGTGTCCGTATTCTCACACGACAATTTATTGTGTCGTGGATTTATGCGAGCGTTTATGCGGCTTCTTTGACCTGTTCGATCAGGCCTGATCTATCGTGGCAAACTCCGCCCACATGTGGACGAGATCCGTCGCGATTGGTCCGGCTTTGATAGAACGTTGTCGATGCCGCAAAGACGCGCGTACTCATGCACCATCGCGCCTCGTCGCAAGTTTGTTTTTTTAAGGAGTGTTTAGTTTAAATGTGTGACTATATTACGGTAGACGCAACCATTGAGCGAGAGACTTTTCGTTTACGGCTAAAAGATATGAGTTTACGAGATACTGTTTTTTAGTGGAATAATTTTTATATCATTAGATGAGTGTTTATGTTATTTGTTATAGTGTTTTGATAATGCTAAGTTGATTTTCTTTTTTAAGTAACTGGTTATGCGATGTTGAGGTTGCTGGCGTGACGCGCTTCCATTATTATTATTACCTATTTGCTCGTTCTAGTTGACCCAGTGTAATTTCGTAGTATCAGCAGTTTATTTTGTAAGTGTTACGTATTGTTTCACAATATATGAGTTTATCCTGAGTAAATTGTTGTCACAAGTTCAATGAACGAGGAAGATGGTGAAAAACTGGTTATGAAGCCAGGACGGAAAATTGAGGGATGTGACGTCTTTTCTGTGCAAGAATTTGATGGGGCTGAAGTCTTTTATGTGTTTTGAAGTGCAGCTGCAACAGCGTGTGTAAAAGTGCGTTTCATGGCTTTCAACGAGTTGCAGCCGAAAGCACCTTTCTATAAGTTATGGGTATTGCATGATGGGCCATATCAAGCGTCCATACTCGTCTGTCGTAGCAGCCAGCTCTAACCTCCGTTTCAAAAAACGAGAAGAGCGTCGGGTGCAGACCATACACCACAAGTGACGACGGCCTCCAAGTAAATCTGGTAGTGGTTCATAGTGATAGCTGATTTTTGGTAAATGATAGTTGTAATTAGTGACAACTGATAGAATACAACTGCAACAGGCTAATCATTTCATTGGCAGAAAACATTTACATTTTGTGAAGGCCGTCGTCACTTGTGGTGCATGGTCTGCACCCGACGCTTTCTCGTTTTTTGAAAGGGAGGGTACGCATAAAACGTTTCGGTACAACCGGGCGTGCAGTGCTGCGGGTGGGGTTCGTTAGGACAGAGAGACTTTTTCGCGTTTCGCAGCGGGAACATTTTCCGCTGCGAGAACCCCACGGTCCACTCATGAGCGATGGTAGTCCTGATGTTCTCGCAGCGAAAGCGTTTCGCGCTGCAAAAACGCAGAAATCGCTCTCTATCTTAGCGAGCAGCACCCCAGTGCTGCCGTCAGGTGCTTTAGACCGTTCTGATACCAGCGTTTTCTGAAGTGATCATAGGTCGCTAAATTGGAAGCTTCGCAAGTTTCCCTAACAGTGATGCCCATTTTCTGCACACAAGGAAAGGTTGGACTGGAGGTCGACGCCAAGTTTCCTGAGTGTTGGTTGTGAGCAGTACACGGAAAAACTCTATCACTGATCTTGAACAGTTCATTTTCGAAATACAGGGGGGGGGGCAAAAAAAGTCACTTTGCCCATGGCGCATATCATCAAACTTTTCGTCGCAAAGGATGCCGCTGTTATTGGGAGTTATACGGCGAAATATTCCTTAGATGACCCTCTCCAGAATATGACGTCATCTGTCATCACCGTCGAGCTCAAGGAGGCCTACCATAATCGCTCCATTCTGAAGCTGCTACATAATTTCTTCAATCGGATAACTGGTGAATGGCTTCTTAGGGACACTAGCTCTGACTATGCAAATGGCTTTTGACCAGCGTTTCAGAGACGTCGTCTATGGTTTCTCGACGACCTCGTTGAGCTCGTACCGCGAACCATGTTTCCGTGGGAAAATCTTCTGATGTCGTCGGTGTAGAAAGCCCCTATGTAATTTTTTGATAGAATAGAATGTGCTCTTCAATATGCAATTGAGCTCATTCGGTTTGGTTTTGGCAAAGTGTAATTAATTCTGTTTTGAATGTGAGTGAGAGTGACT